TATTTTTTTGGATTTTAAATAAGAGATTTGGAAAGTAAACTAATGACAACCGCAGGTTAAACATAGTTTGGAATATATAGAGCCAGAAAATGTTGTATTGTTATATTGTTATTGGTAGCATTTCCTCCTAAGAAAAATCTTGTATTCAGAATAAACTTTACAGATTTCCAAGAAATTTACAAATTTAAAGGACTTTGTATATACTACTTAAAGCTTATAACTTTAAAACATATTTCAAATAAATTAAATAAAAGGATTGTTAGTAAAGTAATAACTATTTAAGGAGCCTACAAAGTATGAAATATGTAGTGAAAGTACCCTCATTATTTGATCTTATATTCAAAGTTAAATTTCGTGCTACAAACTCATAGTTTGCTAAGGTCATCATACACAGAATAAATGCTACAGACTCCCAAAAAATTCGCTAATTCAAAACGTGATTAGTCAGCCGAAAAAGAGTATATATATTACCCTATATATTCACCAAGTTTCGAATGAGTGAGATCAATTAGACATCAGCAGATAATGAGTAGTGAGCTCACTCTCAACTCTATGTTCAATTGTCTAAAAGTGTGATTAGTTCACTTTTATCAGCAATTCAAAAAAGAAGAAAAATTAGAAACAAAGAAACTCGTAAATTCAGCCGGAGAGCTTTGTGCCTATAAAAGTAAATCAGTTTGAACTGTCTGCTTCTTGTGACCCTCTTTCCCTCCTTTAATTTTTTCCCTTAACCAAGTATTTTTCTCTCACATATGTTAGCCAGTGTGAGTGGCAATTAATTTGTGTGCTTAATTCGCCTAATTATTCCGGGTAATAAAATTTTCAATACAAATGAAATGATGATGATGATGTTGATGATCAAGGGAAGGAGGGGATCATTTATTGTCCCTTTGTCCACACCTAAAAAAAGAGCAGCACTTCTTGGAGTGGAGGCGAAGGACACGTTTAATTCAATTCGCGAAGGTTCCTTGACTTGACTTGACGTGGCTCTTCTCTGCGCTTCTCTTTTTTATTTATTTATATATATTTTCCCTCCTTGGCTTAGTGGAAATAAAATGAGAAATAAAAAAAAACAAGCAGCGACATTTAAATTCAAATCGCTGAAAGACGCTGACAAAGAAGACGGCGCCACACGTCGGATTAATTTTATGTGCCTGCGGGGAAAAAGGCAGCGCCAGGACCTCTCACTCTCGCCCTCGCCTCAATTAGAGTAGAAAATGGGGCTTTGGGAAGAGCTAGAGCCGGAGCCAGCAAGGACCTCGAGTCGAGTCCTTTGGCATTTGCCATTGGCTGGCTGCAATTGTTAAAATCGAATTAAGCCACGGTGTCGCATACTTTTGATCTCCCCGTCGAGCGACGGCGAGTCAGCCAATGAAATGTTGCACTGCTCGCCGAAATGTCCTTACATTGTCCTTGCCAGGAGGTATTGCCACCCACTCCCCGCCCCCTGCGAATTTCAATTTCGGTTTGCTTTGGCGCAAATGAAATTAAACGAAGATTAGTCGTGTGCTCGCTAGATTATTCCAAGAAATAAAAATCTCCCAGATATACCAAGCGTTCATTATTTTTTCGTTTCGTTTTCGGTTGCGGCGCTTATTTTTATTTGGATTTTCCATTCGCCTTAACGTGCAGCGCTTGTTTTTTTATGGCCCCTTGAGGTGATTTGCTCAAGTTCGCCGGCCCCCCAATTTTCGAGGGAAATCGCAGGGGAATAGGAGTTTATATTTAAGAATCAGTATAGAGAGAGACTTAAGAGGGGTGTCACATTAGTGGGGCTGAGATCTGGGCAAATCACAGGCTACATTTAACCCACAAATGATGGTCGGCTTTGGCATCAGCTGCAATTTATGAAAGAGTGAAACGGGAATCCTGGTTAATTGAAAGGAATATCTTCTTAAAAGAGTACTAGGCTTATGGTTTAGGATTTTTAGTGATAAATTATCAATCTTACATAGAGTTCTTTTGGAATTTGTATAACTTTTTTGTGTGTATTCATTTCTTACATATTTTTATGATAAATAAATACTACCATCTATGCAAAAGTTGTAAAAATCATAGGGTTTAACTTTGGGATTAACAAATGTAGAGCCAAAAAGCTCGCAATCATTCTTGTACAAAAAAAAACCGGGTGTTTTATGGTCTAATAGTGTGAGGAATAAGTTTAATTCTTTGTTAAAGTATTAAACTTAATATATTTCATTATATTATTTATATATAATAGTAAACAAAATCTATGTAAGGTCAAATAAATTCTTTTTTAACCCCTTAATCATTTTGCGATAAATCTTCTCTCCTTCGCTGACCTCTACCCGTTCGTGTGTTCAATTAAAAAAAAAAATGGTCAACATTAATTGCTAACCAATTCGCAGTCCGGACACTTCCTTGTTTGGGGGCGTCTCAAGTATCCTGGACAGCGGACAGGATTTTCTCGCCTTTTCGCCAGCTGCCACTTTGATGAGTCCGATGTTGACATTTTCTGCATATTAATTGAAGACAAGGCCTCCGATTCAGTTGCTCCCTTGAGCTGCGTCCACCCTTGGCTTAATTTGCGGTAAGTTCATTAAGTAATAAAACATAAATTTCATCATTTTTTTCTTTTGAACCACCTCCCCCTGCCCCTTCCATCATCAAGTTCTTGATACTTTTCCCCATTTTTTTTTCGCTCTGGTATTTTTGTTGTTTTTTAATGCTTTGCATATTTCTTTAATGAATTAATTCTGTTTTGGTTTCGCTTTGGGTTTCGCTTCTGTTGATTCACCGTTCACTGGACTTTGATAAAAAAAAGGCGCAAAGTCGTCGCCGCGACGATAAAAATTAAGAACACAAAAAAAAGGAGGGAAAGGGGGTAGAAATTTTTATATAATTTATTCAGGAAAAACATTAGGGGAAATCGGCGGCAGGGAAAACGCGTTTGTCGAGTGTTAATTATGCTCTGGCTGCCAAAAAGTTTTCTATCAATTTTTGAAAAATATATATAATTTGAGAGTGCGGAAAAACATGTTTTGCATATGAAAACAAAGATACAGAAAATTGGAGGAAACTAGGAAAATGTTGCGCTTTGCCAGCAGCTAATTGCGTCCTCCTGGGGTTTCCCTCTCTAAAAAGAGGAAAGCGCCCCAGCATCCAATTGCAGTGTGTATGCATATTGAGTTGAATTACACTTGGAAAAAATTTACGGGAATTTATATTATTATTATTCTAAGAATTTATGGGTTAAATATTCAAATTATAAAATGTGGTAATATTAAATTGTGATACTTGCTATACTTGAAAATATAGGAATCATGTTTATATTGCAGTTTGGAATTAAATTATAGAATCGAATCAGAAATTAATCATAAGTAAGCTTAAAATATTACATTTCCTAAATCGATATTTTAAAATGACAATTCTTCGGGTCAATAAAAGTTTAAAAACTCATAACTCAATCAAAAAAGCTTTAATTTTAATTCGGAAAGCTTTCCTGTGTTAGTTCAAAATAGGTTAATAAATCTGCATACTTCATTTTATATCTTATATATACCATTCTTTTATCCAATTTATCTATATTTTATATGAAAATATGTACTATAAATCAAATTTAAAAATCTCATAACTAAGCCAAAAGAGCACAAATTTTAACTCGGAAATCACTCTTTTGTTAGTTTTTAGTAGTTTAATAAATCTGCATACTCAATTTTAAATTTTAAAATATTGAGATTTTTATCAATTTTTTGACAATTTTAACGATGTAACCCCTTATAAAATTTCAAAATTTTCAAAAAATTAAATTTTATCCAGACATGGCTATATCGATTCGGCTGTTCGTTCTGATCAAGAATATATATGATTTATAGGGTCGAAAATGACTCCTTCACTGGGTTTTAAGCTTCTGACTTAAGTTAAGAGTACAATTGTTAAAATATAAAAATGCCAACTTTGACTTAAAATGTTTTAAGTTAAGTTAGTTATTCAAAGTCTTAGACGATTTCCCTTTATATTTTCTGGCAGTGTACTTGGTGTATGTGATGCCTTAGAGTGTCAGGTTGTCAATCGCCTCGCCTGTTGTTTGTTGTCTTCCGATTGTTGACATGCCCTACCCGCAAATGAGCCGTGCAATTGTCGGGCTGCCTTCTATTGACAGCTCCCATCTCGATAGTCCAAGTGCATGAATATATATAAAAATATATATATATTGCCATAGTGAATCCCCCATAGAAATGCCGCGGTATTCGTCTCCAATTTCAGACGTGCGCTCTCGTCTTTTGGCTTCATCTTGTTCATCTGCATTTTTGGCCTGACTGACAAATGTCGAGGTTTTTGTGACACTGAAAAGTGTGACGATTTATTTGGCATATGGCACGGGATGCAGGAATCAATTGGTTGTGCAGATGCCACAGAAATGCTACAAGGGCATTGACAACCATCCACAACTGGACATCATTTGTCTTGAGAACTATTAGTAAATGGTTTATTATTTCAACTCTTTTCTGGTTCAGCTCAAATTCTCGGCTGACTAGTGTTTGTCAACGGCCTAATGGACTTTCTTCCTTTATAATATATTAATTAATTAGGCTCGTTTTACCTTGACGCAGTTTTTCAGCTTGGTGATACGAACAGAGGAATGTTTTTGTTGATAAGAAAGAAAGTGTGAAATCGGAATACAACAATTTCTTACATACTCTTGTTTCCTGATTGATAAAAAATAGGTTTTAGTTCTGTTTAATGAGAGCTTAAACTACTCTGATCTAGGTTCGAAAATATATTTATCCTACTGTAAAAAAGAACACAACTTTTTCTATTTTAAGTTTACTTTTCAATGAATAAAATTCTTATTCTTGGACATGCATACCCTTATTTTCTGGCAGGGTATCTCAGGCTTAGTTCATTCCTAATCTAATCAAGTGAGACACGCCTGAGACCGCTTCCAGTACATGGCGATAGGCGTGGGTTCATAAGGTCTCCGGGTTTTGTAGATAAGCCGGCTTTAAAATCGGAAAATGTAGCCGGTCCAAGTGGTATTGCGTGCATTCCGTGTCCGACTTTCGATCCGCCATGATGCGTCTGAGCTTGCTGCTGGCTCTGGTCCTGGCCTTCGCCTCTGTCTCCGTCTTTGCGGAGGTGATCAACTTCCAGACCTGTCAGGATAGTGTGGACACCTGCATCATACACGAGGTGCGAGTGGATCCCTGTCCGCAGGCCGAGAAGCGACAGGCTTGCAACATTCGGCGACGACGTTCCTCCCAAATAAGTTTCGATTTCGAGCCCAAGTTCGATGCCGATCAGTTGGACATCACTTTGGGTTGGGCCAAGTCGGAGACGGAGGAGCTGATGCTGCCCACCTTGGAGCGAGATGCCTGCAAGTCCACAACCTGTCCAGCCCGATCTGGAGTTAAGCAAACCTATACCACCGATGTGCCCATTGAGGCCAAGTTCCCATTAAGTCCTTATACCATCCGTTGGGCCATCAAGGATCCTGCCAGTGGCAAGCGGTGCTGCTTCACCATTGACATTAAGGTGGTGCGTTAGAAGGGATCCACGAAAATATCTATAAAATGTTTTTTAAATATATAAAATCAGTGGAAAAATAATATGTTTTTGAATTAATAAATTCCAAGAGTATTGCAAAGATTGTTTAGTTTGTTTTCTTGTTTATTGATATTGAAAATAATACAAACAAGTTTAAAATCTTCACTTTTGTTCCTTCTTTATTTCTTATTATTCTTATACCATTTGTATTCTTTTTATTTTCTGTTAACAATTTAGTCTATTTTTTAATTATTCGTGTGCCTGGGTCGCTTTGTATTATTACTGCCCACTGGGGACCATCTCAAGGAATAAAGATATTTATTCCAATAATCATCAACCTGCTGGCGACTAATTTGAACCCCAAAAGCCCCGCGGACAGCACAGGGAAAGTATATAAAACTTTGATTGAACTTTTGGGTGCCATTAAAAAAAAGAAAAAAATTAAATAACTCACCCCGCGTTGCCTCCGCGGGTCTTATCAGCGTCGTGAAACAATTAAAAATTGAGCACTTAAGTTGTGGTCATAAAATCATTTGTTTTTCCCTCGTTTTTTCCGCCTCGTTTTTCTTGGTTTTTTATTGTTTTCTTCTTTTCTGTTCACATTTTTCAGTGGTGGAAAATTCAAAATAGCAAATCACTTTTTGTACTCAGTGTTTCTTAAGTGAACGGGGGTGTATGTGAAGGGGTTTTTGAGAGAGAGAATATTCTTTAAATTTGAATAACTATATTATAGGAATTATTAAAGAAAAAATGTTGAAAGTAACAATTAATATTTGGTAATATTTTGTTTAGTTTTTTTTTGTATCAGCTTCAGGTTTGTTCTTAAAATATTTATTTTTCGTTGGCAGTTTAAGCCTGAGTTTGATATCCTTAATTCATTTTAAAAGTAATGCTCAGCCTAAAATGTTTAAAAAACATATTCTTTACCTCTTTTCCTTTATGTTTTTAATTAAATTTATAAATCCTTTTTTATTAATCAGGAAGTTATAGGGTATCTTGTCGTCCATTCTGAGCCTTTTCCTTTAAGTTTCTATTGCGTTCATTGTTTACCTAAACGAAAACGTAGACATATTTTCTGCCTATGGTACGGGGAATTGGTCAGAATTTTGATAGGCCTGACCCCAAAAAAAAAGAGAGAAAAAAATGGAAAAAAGCAGGGCAATAACAACACACAAACAACGTCAGACACTTGAGCAAATAATAATAATAACGAGAGTAATCAGAGAAAAGGACTTTCAAACACACATTTTTAGTCAATTTTGGGAGCCAAAGCACTTTGCTTTGAATCGAATTCAGATTACGAAATTGGCCTCGGCATATTTCTTGCCCAGAACGTAGGGCGTCTTGGTGAGTTGAGAGACAATTTGGCATTTGACCTCCTCGAAACAAGGTGTGGCATCCACATAGATCACCTCACGGCGTTGGCTAAGATAGATGTTCATGGCAGGTTCACTCTTACGGAACTGTTGCATCTGTCGATCCAGGTAACTGATGTTGGACTGAGGTCCTGGGGAGTAGCTATTGACCAGGATCCTCATCCTGGCCATGCGTTCATCGATTTGCAGAAAGATGAACTTATTTGGTGGCACAGTGAAGCCCTCAAAGAGCTCCTTGGCCTCACATTTGTTATTGGGATAATTAAATAGGATCCAGCCACGATGTAAAGCATCTTCCTTAAGAAGTCGCCTCTGGATGAGTTTCCCCACAGCCTCGGATCTCTTGTAAACACAATCCTCTTCAATGCCCTCTTGTAGCAGTCGGGTAAACTCATTCTGCTCGGCTCCATTGATGCTGTGATAGATCAGGACATCGGCATCTAGGATCAGTAGATCCCAGCGTTGGGCCAGCACATGAGCCAAGGACTTGCGACCCGATCCTGGCTTGCCATGGATCACAATCCTGTGATAGAAGTTCCTAGGCATTTGGTAAAAGTCCCCCTGAACTCCACGATGAAAAGCATCCAAGGACTTTGAATATATATCAACTCCAATCCTTCGAATATTCTTGCCCATCCAAAGACGCACATCGGAGACACCATCGGCCACTACGATCTCTGCCAAAATGCGACTCATTACCTCCATTAGCTTGTGTCTCTCCATATAATGCATGAAGGCGGCTCCAAACTCCACCAGCATTTCCTTGTTGAACTTTGTGGGGAAAGACATGATGAAGTTGGGAGAGAGTTTCTGGGAATAAAATTAAATGAAATGTTAAATGTCAGTAGGAAATTTGGGGAAAATTTGATCTATAGCAGTGTAGTTTAGCAAGATTGCTAAGGTTTTGTTTATTATATTAAAGAAATGTCTTTTTAAAGGTACTTTTTTTACATCATTATAATTTCTATAAAATGAAAGGCTTTCTAGACTTCAAATAACCTTTGTTTTGTATATATTCTCTAAGAAATATTCATCTTCTTGAAGGGTTATTTCCATATCCTGTTGAATTACTTACCGCCACATTACCACTGCCAGTCTGAAATTATAACCAAAGTCGAAAGAGTGCAAATTACCATTAAGACGGGACTGTGACTGGGATTTTCTGGCATTGTTATCATCATCTTATTAATTGCTTCCGTTACATTATTAGAAAATGGTGCAAACTTCCGGGCAGCTGAAGAGGCCCGGATTGGAGCTCCCATATAATAACCAACTAATGTCTTGGCCAGAAATGGAGCCAAACAAAAATTGGCTCCATATGAGTGCAGTTCTTTTGGGGTGACAATATTTTCCAGCGAATTATGACAGCTCCTTTGTCTTTCCGGGTATATTTCCACCACTATCCCACTCCCACTCGAGTCGTTTAGCATTAACAATTTAAAAAGCCGGGACTGCTAACGGTCTGCAAAGTGTTGCCAAAATGTCTGTCATACTTTATGCCTTCTTATGAGCTGCCCAAGCATGTCCCTGGCTAAGCCAAGAATCTTAAGGAGAAGGAGTGTATCCTTATGAGGATGCCATGAATGCCTTGAACTGATGCTGGGTGCTGAGTGTGTGGGGTTGAGTGGCTAATAAAAACTAGCATAAGATGAAAAATTGCTTCCTGTTGCTGCTACTGCTACTTGGCAGGACACTCTCCATATTGTTATGTCAAATATGCTGTTAATATCTTGCACACACTAATATCGCATCCTTTTGGCTTCCTTAACATTTGCTCTGGGGTTTATCGGTCCAGCTCCCAGCTCCACCAGCTGGCCAGGAGAAAAGAAACAAAGATGCACTTTATTGATATTTAAGAATATTGTTTTTATTTATAATATTTAGGGGGAAATAAATATCTATAGTAATAACTATATTTCTTATAATATAATAAAGATATTCCTGAAGAGGTTAACTTGTGTATTTATGCCGAAATATTTATTCTACTTTGTAAATACTAAAATTCAAATCTTCAGTATACAGACACATTTTGAAGTTGTTTTTAATTATATATATAAATTGTTGAATGTGTTGATGTGACTGCTTTCGGCTGTTGCCGCTGCCACAAAGCGCAACTTTTTAATTAAACTCAAAGCAAATGCAAAAATTAAAAGCAAAATAACAAGAAAGGAAGCTAACTTCGGCACACCGAAGTTTATATACCCTTGCAGATAGAACTTCTATGAATTGGAATCCATACAATATATTTGTGTTAAAAACAATGAAGTAATACTTGCTTTCATTTCATTCACCTATACATATTATATTTGCTGTTTTACATTCACAGATTTGCATTTTTCCTCTACATCAAACGATCGTTTGTATGGCACCTATATGATATAGTCGTCCGATTTTCATGAAATTTGACACAAAATTTAAGACTAATACAAAATGGCTATACCTCAAATTTGATGAAAATCAGCTGAAAACTGAAAAAGTTATAAATTTAATTGTATTAATTTCTCGATCGTTCCTATGGGAGCTATATGATATAATCGTCCGATTTTCATAAAATTTTACACAAAATTGTAGAATAATATGAAATGGCTATATCTCAAATTTGATCAAATTCTGTTGAAAACTAAAAATTTTATAATTTTTTTTGTCAAACTTTTCCGATCATTCCTATGACAGCTATATGATATAGTCGTCCGATCCGGCCCGTTCCGACATATATACGAGTGAGAGTATATAGAAGGCTAACTACAAAGTTTCATTCAGATAGCTTCAAAACTGAGAGACTAGTTTGCGTAGAAACGGACAGACGGACAGACGGACAGACGGACAGACGGACATGGCTAGATCGACTCGGCTGTTGATCCTGATCAAGAATATATATACTTTATATAGTCGGAGGTGCCTCCTTCACTGCGTTGCAAACTTCTGACTGAAATTATAATACCCTGCAAGGGTATAAAAACCAGAAAGCAAATGCGACTGCGACAATGATAACAGCTCCGACAGCTTCTCATCTCATTGCGATTCTCGGAACTGTGTGCCAAATTACATTTCATCATTATGACCAGAGTCCATATAGCATATATGCATATATCCTCCCCTCTCCCGATCTGATTCCTCACCACTCTCTATATCCTTTTTTAATCGTCCGAAAATTGTGGCACAAGCCGCCGACATTTCCATTTGTTGCATTTTCTTTTTGTTGCATTATCTCAGAAGACTCGCGGATCGAGTCTCGCCATCGGGAGACAGGAAGGCGCCCTAGAATTGCATATGAATATTCAAAAACCGAAGCTTTGAATGCCCTTAAAATTAGAAAATAAAGAAAATAGTAAAATCAATATAAAGTTGAAAATAAACTAGAAGTGTACTTTAAAAAATATTTCATATTTGACAAATGACTAAGGCTAACTCTTTGACATTCGTATCTGTGTGTTTCAATAAATTGTTTCCTTATTAAAAAAGCATTATTTGAAAGCAAACATGCCTTAATTTCATTATATCTAATTTTATTAATGCGTTAATTATTTATTTCAATGATAAACTTTTAGAGTTATTTTCTAGAATTAAATAATTATTTTTACCAATTATGATTTTAGGTATTTTTTGGTCTAACTTTAGGGATTATTTTCTGGAACTATATTAGTATCTTTCTTAATCTGGATTTTAGGTAATTTTTGTCTTAGTATATTCTTAAAGGTTGTGTGAGTAAATTACTCATCTAACATATTACTTCAGGTTGTATTAATTAAAAACAAATCCTATTAGTAATTATTTTTCAAATCGTAAATTCCATATACCCCTTTAAAAACCCCCCTTTTGCGGTCTTTGTGAAAAACTACGCAACATATGAATATGAATAAGAATATGAATGTATATTTTGATACAAGAAACTGGACAAAGTTGCGTCGCCAGAAGAACTGACTTACTGAGTGAGTAATGTGGAACGGGCACTACAAAGCCAAGGGGGAAAGGGGATGCTAGAGACTTCAACTGAGTCTGTACTTAAAGTAATCATAATCACAGAGAAGAGACCAGTGCCAACCTCATTATACCCATGGCCAACCGTTGAAAAGCGAGGCGCAATTTCAACTTAAGCGGGCCGATAAGGAAAAGTGACGTTCGGTGCTTGGCACTAGGAGACCAAGTCAGGCACTGGAAAAAATCTAAATAAAATATATATTAATGGAGAAATAAATTAGGATATATATAATGATGAAAGCTATTAAATATTTGTTATTAAGCAAAAGAAAATAATGTTTTAAAGTAAATCTAAAAATATTTGTAATGCTTCAAGTCTAAAGTTGTGAGTTTCAAAACTGTCTTCAGTTCTAAGAAGCCTATGGTAATCTTTGGCTATTATTTCTTTTACAACTCATAGGAGTATGAAGAATTTTTCCCAGTGCCCTTGCATTTCTAGCTTCTGAGATTGTCAGCTACTTTCAAGTGAGCCGCCGTAGAGAGTTCGGGTTAATCGGGGGCTTACAACCCCGAGCTGCATTGTAGGGGTCTTATCGGGGCTTGGACTGGCGGCCTATGGACCCTTATCGACTTCCTCCGTGGCTGGAACTCATACATATAATAACACCCGCCAGAAAGGAGCGGAAGTAATGAGCGCCGTGTGTTGTCGTTGCCGCCGACTTGTGCTTATCAATTTCACAATTGCACATTGTTTTTATCATTGAACAAACCCAAATGACCAGCATAAAAAAGCCCGGCAAAATTTAAAAAGAGTTACACTGAGTTTTACTGATTTTCTCCTGTTTTTTCCCCTTCGATTTTTTTCCTCGACACTCAACGCCCAACAATTAAAAATCATTTTTCACACAATTGCTAGTCAACGTAGCAATTTTTCCCCAGAGGTCACGAAGGAGTGTGGCAAACAAAGCCACACATCAACAGGCTGAAACAAGTAGAGGGAGTTGGGGGTATCCTGTATACTGTATCCTGCATCCTGGACCACTTTGTCATGCCGACAATTTGCTGCCAATATTTTGCCATTTTTTTTTCCATTTTCCTGTTATGGTTCGTCCCTCGGTTTGCCTTCAATTATGCAGCAATTGAAAAATTACTACGTGTACAACAATTTCGGTTTCAGTTCATTTTTTCAACACAAAAAGGAGTAGGTTAGAGGGATGAAGGATAAAGGATTTCTGGGCTGGGGACTGACAACAGGTTTTAAAAATTTGTCACCGCAACAACAAAGCAGTGACAAGCGCCAAATGAAGCGCAAATTTAATTACGCAATTTTATTGGATTAACAGGCGAAACCTGTAAACAAATTTAAATATGCCGTAAGGACACACACATGTGCCACGTTCTCCCAATCTCCATTTCCATCTCCAACTCCACTTTTTGGGATGTGGTCTAGTCGCGTAGGTGAGTCGTAAATTTACGCGCCATTGTTGGCAGTTTCCCCACCATAGATCCTTTAGTCCTGCGAGTGTGTGTGTTGTGTTGACGCCAATGTTGGACTCTGGACTCTGGATGTGTCTGTGTTATCTTCCCTTTTTTGGCCTTTTCACTTATGCAAACGGAACATTTGAAAAATATGTTGGCAGGATAAACAGCAGGGCCACAAAGTGCAGCTGATGCCCCCAGACGGACTCTCCTCCAGACAGCAAAGGGCTGCCTTCTGCTTTCCTGTCCTGACATTTTAATGAGCATGCAACGCTGTTGCAACGTGGCTGCTACTGCTTCCTCCTGATGTTGCACTCGGAAAAGTTGCACAATTATTAATTATAAATAATTTTCTTTGTACAATATATGCACGATTTTGAAGGAAATGTGATTCTGTTCTCTAATGTTTACTATCACTGCAAGTTTAATAATCAAAAGACCAAGATTTATTATGATTTTTATCTGGTAAAGTTTTTATATTATTTTGAGGTTTTAAGGTTTGAAGTAGAGTTTATTTTAGGGTATAACAATAATACTTTAAGTAAAGTTAAGTCTTTAAAAACACATTTATATTTATGTAAGATTTATATTTAAGGTTCTGCCAAGAGTAAACCATTTATTTATAAATATTTCATCCTTGAAATTCTTTAAATAAAAGAAATTATCAAAGTGCCTTGTTAGTTAAACAAATTTTCCAAGTTATTCTAGAGGTTCTCTGTTAATTTCCATTTTCTTTAATTAACAAATAAATTGAAAAATATTCCACTCAGTGCAGCATAACCCTTTTTCACCACCCACTTTTTGGCCGTGACCAGAGCATCCTTGTTAAATTCATTAGTAAAACGTTGCACCTTCAGCGCAATTTGCTGCCAGAGATACATACGCAATTGTGACTGGGATGAGGGGGAGAAGGAGGGTCAGAGGTCACTCTGAAAACACACGTCTGTTTGGCCTGATGTTGCCGCACGGCACACACGAAATTAAAACCTCCTTCCTCCATCTGAAAACAACAAGGGGATAGCACATACATACATCCCCATACGGAGGAAAACGAGCAGACAACATGACATGATACCGATACTAAACTGACACTTTGACATGGACTTAACCCTAAAAACGCTTTGTTGGCTTTATTGGTGTCGGTTGGCCTGGCCAGCTCTCTGGCCTATGTACCCAGACTCCAATTTCCCAACCAATTTTCCCCCCATTTTCCATGGCACGCACATGGCCAAGGTATCCACTTGATTTTTGCACTAATTTACGTGGATTAAGCGCTCGACAGGGCTGATGTGACCTGGGTATTAAGCTTAAATACCTTTTAATTGACAATTTGTGTTTGGCAATTTGATGCCTGATTTTGTTTATTTATTGTGTGTGTGTTTGGGTCTATTAAATGTACAAAAACTGTTGGCAGAGAAAAAGGAAACCCCGATTAATCTCTTGGGTAAAACCTATTTAATTTACCTTCATTAGTTATGTAGTTAATAGAATAAGTTGTAGTTTTAAATAATAGGGGAAATAAATAAGAAGAAATAATTTAATAAAATAAGGAACAATAAAAGCAAACTACATCAAGTTGAAAACTAAGAGAATTTATCATACTTTTAACTTGATATATTAAGGTTTTAAAGGAATTAAATCAAATTTAATTAAATTACAAGTTCTTCTAAATTTCATGTTATTAGTTTAGGTTTTTTCTTCAAGCTCTGGTCATTATTTATTACTTTTTTTCTTTGATTTAATTGATTTTGAAGCATTTAATTAAAATAGTTTAAGGATATTTTCACAAGCTAAGGTATTTTCTACATTATCCTGACTAACATGACTTTAAACGCTTTTAACGATATACAATTTTATGTAAAAAGGAAATATTTATAAAACTTTACCTCAAAGAAGGAAATCAATAAAACTTTGACCAAACTTTGCCACCATTTATTCCCCTCTCTCTCTCTCTCTCTGAACTATCCAATTAATCTTTGATCCGATTTTTTCTTTCGATCCTTGAGCAAGAAGTATCCTTCAGCTGCAGGTGAAACTTGAACTCATTTGTATGCCACTAAATTGTGAAAAAACTTTGCCGCAGCATTAACAATTGTGTGAAGCTCCCTCACTCACTCTCTCCTCTTGTGTTAATTCGATCCATCAGCTGCAAGTTGTTCCATGAAAAGCTGAAAAGTCTCGCCACACAAGCGAAAAGTTGCTTAAATCAGCGAGTTTTTTTCTATTAGGTTTTATCTGAATTTTCTGGGGAAAAGAAGGGAGAGCAAGTCAGCCGCTTAAGCTGCCACACGGTGCAGCCTCGTCTAATTGAACCCAACAGATATTTTCAATTAGCAGCAAAACATTTGTGAGCTAAAAAAGTTTTATTTAATTTTTTTTTTCGTTTCCTATACTAGCCTGCACCTTGAGCCTTGAAGGACCTTCTGGGTGGCAGGATTCCTGCGGGGCGAACACGTTCAGGCGCCAATAAAAAAAGGCACCTTAGTGCTGGAGAACTTTGGCCGGCGGCGGACAAACTTTTTAATGCCATTAAAGAATGAAAGCAACAAAAAAATGAGGCAACAAGACGTGGAAAGTTTTTCGTTTTGCCCCAAAAGGTAAGACAGGAAAAATAGCCAACTAGAAGTACACTGAAAGAAGGGATCTGTTTAAGCTAAAACTAGTTAAAGAAGCATAGGGAAACTTAAAGGAAGAGTGTAGTTTTTTACTTGTTTACTTAACCAAAAAATATATATCAAATAATCATAATATATATGTTTTCAGAGGCATTTAAACTATCAAAAATATAAGAGAACCAATCAATAATTTTCTTAGTTCCTTTTTGCTTTGTGTACTAGCAACAAATTCAATTTGT